TGTGTGTGTGTGTGTGTGTGTGTGTGTGTGTGTGTGTGTGTGTGTGTTGTATTCGTGAAGGGAGGGGGCGGGTTTATGTGACATACCCCCCCCACACACAACCCCCAGGAATTGTCCCTAGATACTGGGATATCAATCCAACCCTTCCCTCTCTGCTCACCCCCTCCCTTCCTTCCCACCCCAATCCAATCAGCCCTAGGTTCATTCCCAAGAGGAGATGGGGGAGGCGGCATCCTGTTTGTGTCTTAATTCTGCTGTTTCTCTCTAGCTTTCCCCCCATCCTACACTGGTAACCCCCCACCCCCAATTATTCTTTAATTCAGGGATACACGAGGTGAATTTTCTTGTTCTGATTTTGCAAAATAAAAGTCTAGGGAAGGGGATAGTCCCATTCCCAGCGGCTCGCCATTGTTTTCATACAAAGTGTATTCAACATATAAATACACACACCACACACGTGTCCCTGACTGGATCTGCCCAGAGGTTGGGGGATTCTCCCACTGGCTAGTCTGGCATTCTCCCTCTGTTGCTCATCTTGGGCATGGGGTAGGCATAGGAAGATGTCGTGGAGTTGTGTAGTGTGCTTGTGCTGTTGTCTATGGAGCAGAGCAGGGGAATGAGTTTTGAATTTAGGGGAGGCAGCTTTCTGGGAAGACCCTGCGCTCTACAGACCGGGTGGTTCCGGCTCCTGACCCCAAAGGAATTGGCAGCGGCTTCAGAATTCCGCCAGACCTCTTGGCAAAGGCCCCCACGACATCAGTCTAGGGAGGAAGCTGGAAGTTTTCCTGGGAAGTTTTGCTTTTTCTCCGTGAGAATTTCCGGGCAGAGTCAGGGTGACCCAGAGAGACAGAGATAGAGAGAAAAAGACACGGACACACAGAGAGAAAGAACAGACAAAGACAGACACTAAGACGAGTATTGGTGTTGTGGGGTCTCCCAGGGGCTGTAGGAAACTAGGAGAATGAAGGGGCCCTGTTGCCTGCTGGGCTGAAGGGAAAGCATTGATTTAATTGCTGCTTTGATTTTTCTGACACCCTGGGCCTCCCCTTTCTTTGTGATGTGGAGCCCATTGACCAAGCTCTGGAATTCTAAATCTGAGTCCCACTCCCTGGTCTTGGGCAAGTACCCCTTTGGGACCTCAGCTTTCCATTGGAGAAAGAGGGAGTCAGCCTCCCTTCTTTTAAACTCAGAATATTATGAAGAGGTCAGAGCTAGCGGTTCAGACTTAGTAACTGCAGGAGGGCAAAGACCCTGTCTCCTTACTGATTGTGGGCAGTCTGAAACAACATAACTTTGGGTATGAGATTAATTAGTACAAATACTGGGCTTCAAAGAAGAGAGAATAAGTATTCAGATACCAGATCCTGTGTTTAGGCTCACCTCACTACCCCCCTTCGGGTTGTTTTTTTTTTTTTTTTGGCTGGTTTTAATGAAAGGAACTTTCTACTCACTCCACCCTTCCCTCCATCCCTCTCTGGTGGGGCCCTCTTCACCCAGCCCAATCTGTCTGGTGGAAGAAAAACTCAGGACCTCTTCCCCAGTGCATAGCTTTCTTGGCATCAGGCTCCAGGATTGATGTGCTTTTGTGTCAGTGGGGTTTGGTGAATTTCCTGAGAGAGATGGAACCCCAGATGTCTTGGGCCCTGAGGAAGAGTCACTGGGGAAGGGTTAAGGCCTCTTCCTCCTGGGTGTCTGCCTCCTAGGCTGTATTTATATTGCTTACTGTTTAGGAACCTCCCACTGCTATAAATAGGGGAAAATGGAAGGAGCTTGGGGGAATGATAATAATAATAATAATAATAAATGCTATATAGTGCTTCTCTTGTGCCTGTAAGTGCCTTAGAGTTATTATCTTATTTGATCCTCGCAACCACCCTGGGAGATTGGTGCCATTATTATCTCCATTTTACTGGTAAGGAAACTGAGGCAAACAGAAGTGATTTGCCCAGGGTCACACAGCTATTGTTTGAAGCTAGATTTGAACTCAGGTCTTCCTGACTCCAGCCTCAGTGGTCTTTGTCACCTAGCTGACCCCTAAATGCCCCAGCCTGGGAGTATTTAATAGGCTTGGAGAAAAATGTTAATCTTCTCTCTTTCATCCATGCATGGCTAGAGATATTGTAGGAATTCGATGTTGAATTAAAAGCTCTGGAAATAGGTAGGTCAGACTAGCAGAGAGATGGGGGACTGCCATAGAAGAACAAGATTGACTCCGGGTCTTGCTCATCTGGAAATCAGGATCTAGTCCTGACTCTTTTGTTTATAATTGTGTGACCTTGAGCAAGTCACTTGAATACTTTAAATCTTTTTCCTAGAGATATTATTTGCATTACTACCCTTATAAAATTGTGGGGATAATGCCTTATAAATTAAAAAGAAACTTGGGTTGAAATCCCACTTGGACTTGCTGTTTTGTGAAAATTGATGTAACTTAACTCTGTGACCCTCAGTATCCTCTTCTCAAAAAATGGAGGGGGGCATGGAAATAAATAATGTCTGTGATATATTTATTTAGCTGCCTGGGATGTTATGAGGCTCAATTAAAATAATTTATTTAAAGTACATTGCAAACCTTAAAAGTGCTTTATGAATGTCAGAATCTGGAACAGAAATGTGAGTTATTATTATTATTAGGCCCTCTGAACAGTGAGAATAAACTTTTCTATTCCTTCCTAATTCCCCTCCCCAAACTGATTGCTACTTGAAAATACTTAAGAAAACCAGCAGCAGTTTTCACCAGAATTTCAATCACAATTGCCCAATCTTCTCTTTCTCAAAAAGGTGTCTCCCATTACACATTCTCCATTCCTTCTAAAATTTTTGTATTCCCAAACTCAGGTTTTTGCTGTCAAAGCAGCCTTCATTAAGCACCTACTAGATGCAGGGTACTGCATTGTCATTTTTGCCTTGGACATTGAGTTCTATAGAGAAATGAGTTGGACTAGTCACTGTCCTGTGCCAGTTGGAGAGTAGGGGCAGGGCAGAGAATAGGACAGTACATAAGCTTACACTTTAGCACATAATAAATATCCAGTAAAGTGCTATGTGTATTTAACTGAAGGGAGAGAGAACCTTTGGGGAAAGGAGATCAGGAAAAATTCCATGGAGGAATTGGCATTTAAGCCAGATGCTGAAGGATAGGCAGGATTTCAATAGGCAGAGATTTAGGGAGAGGACATTCTAGACAGGAAACAGCATTAGCAAAGATGCAGAGGTGGGAAACTAGCCAGTAGTCTTTGGCCCACTTGCCTTTCAGGTATATACTGGAATTCAGGGATGGGTGGGCATATTCCTAATTCTGTCCCTGGTATTGTGAGTGGCATAAGGCATTCCCCTCTCTCTGAGCCCCCTTCCCCCCACCATTTACATGATCCTTTTTCCCCCAATGGGGAAACTAGCCTTAATATTTCTCAAGGCAGCTAAGTGAATGAGTGAGAGATACATCAACATTCACTGGGGACCTACTATGCATCCAGTATTGTGATGGTGCATATGTGCACGCGCACGCGCACGCATGAGTGTGAGTGTATAGCAGACTGGTACAAGAGATACAAGTCTCTGACTACCCCTTACTCTGTAAGAGCTGATGTGCTGATTGAGTCCTTTGCAGGACTCAAGTTTGACATGGTGATGGACATTTGAGATGGACATTGGGAGGCTGACATGAAGTTGGCACTTACTTTGGGAGGGGAATACCAATAGAACAGGACCTTTTCCCTCCACAACCACCATCTCCTCACCCCCATTCAGGGGTGAGGCCATATGTTTGAAAAGAACTGTGCTGGAAGGGCCAGCTTCAGGAGCTGGGAGCTCAGTAAATCGTGCTTTGAATGGAGTTATTTTTGTGTTCACTGTTTGCTTAAGAGGGCCTGCTCCTGCCTGAACTCATTGCATTCACACTCTGCTGGTCCCCTTCCTGGAATCTGGCCTTCTTAACTCGGGTGATGGTCACGGTGCCTGCCAGGGGGTTGAAAATAAGGGCCCAGAGGAGACCTGCTCTGACCTCGCCCTCCTCCCCTTTAGCCCCATTGGTGAAGATCCAATGTTTAAAGAATTGAGCCTTCTCTTAAGCCAGCCACATCTTTTGTGGATGTGGGGTAGGGGAGAGGCAGTTACATTCCTGACTAGTCCCTGGGCTGAGGTCTTTGCATTGTAGCTCTCCTATGTTCCTTCTTCTCTATTACCATTCCCACCACAAACTAAACTATCCTTCTTAGGTCAAGTAGCTAACAAAATCGTTGAATGAATTATTTCTTTTTTTTAAAGTTTAATTTTTATTAATATATTTTATTTTAACATTACCTTCATTTCCCAATATATAACTTCTCTTCCCCTTCCCAGAACCATCTCTCCTAATGAAGAATAAAAAAGAAGAAAAAGTTCATCAAAACTATCTAATACGTCAACCAAGTCCATACCCATTGCCCCTTCACCTCTGCAAAGAAGGGAAAGAGATGCTCTCTGATCTGTTCTTTGGGACCTAGCTTCCTCATTATAACATTCAGCTTCAATTGTCCTTTCTACTTACGTTGTTAAATAGTCATTGGATATGTTGATTTTCTGGATATACTTACTTTATTTTTTCATCAGTTTATTTAAGTCTTTCTTTGTTTTTCTGTAGTCTCCTTATTTCTTTCTTCCAGCACAGTAACATGTTGTTACATTTGCATGTCACAACTTCCTTAGCTATTCCCCAATCCACGGACATCTACTTTGTTTCTAATTCTTTGCTACTTTGAAAAGTGCTGCTATAAATATTTTGATGAGACTTTTCCATTTGTCATTGACTTCCTTGGGGGATGTGCCTGGCACTGGGAACTCTGGGTCAAAAGATTTGGACGTTTTAGTCACCTTCTTAGCATATTTCCAAATTGCTTTCCAGAATGGTTGGACCAATTCGCCACTCTACCAACAGCGCGTTAGTATGCCAAACAGATTGCTTCGGTTGGATAATAGGGGTTGGCAAATGGGCTCTGAAGCACTACTTGGCTGCTCTGGATTGAATGGGTATCCTTAGTTGGAAGTCAGAGTTCATAAAAATCATAAGATATTAAAGCCCAAAGGGATCTTAGAGGTGATCTAATCTAACACTCTTATTTTTATAGAAGATGAAATTGAGTCCTAGAGAAGTCAGGTGACTGGCCTGAGATCAAATCTAGAAAGAATAGCAGACAAGATTTGAACCTGGGCCTTTTGACTTCAAATCCAAGGTTCCTTCCATTGTAACACACTGTTATTATTTTGTGAAATATTGTATATTAACTATATAAAATATTGTATATGAAATTCTCTGTCTTTAATAAGATTTTTACCCTGGTTGTGGTATCCTGGTGGTGAGGTACTTCCTTTCCAGGGTCAGAGGCATCCTTCCTTCTCCCTGCCTCCTGACCCTCATCCCGATATTAGGTAAAGGATTTTCTCAAAGCATCTGTTCTCTTTAATACCAGCCCTGCCTAGTTTGGCTAACCTTTGCTTAACACCTATATTAATGACCTCCCCCCTCCCCTTCTGGACTTTCCACCCATAGGGTGAATAGGACCGAGCTCTCCTCAAGTTCAGAAAGTCTCCTACACCCACTAACTTCCTTTTTCTTCTCTGAGGTCTCTCTGCCCAATTCCCAGGAATGTGTAGGGTAGAGTCCTAAACAGTCTCTGTTCTGCCGTTGGTTGGTTTAGAGAGAGTCTGGCAAAGAATATAGAGAGAAGGCAACAGCTGTAACTCTTCTCTCTTCCCAGATTCTTCCTCTTAGAAGAGAAAGCACGAGCCAAGGGGAGTAAGATTAAGAGGAAGTCACCAGGGAGAGACACTGCCTCCTCTCTGTGGGTAAACTCATGGGCTTGGATAACGCGTGGTCTTTCTTGCTGTGCCATACCATTCAGAGTAAGTCACCTCACCTTTCAAATGTTTTTCCAAAGGCTGAATCATTTGTGGGAGGGACAAAGGTGGTACAAAACAGGGTGAGAAGGGAGACTGAGGCACTGAATGGTGAGCTGACACGCTCCAAAGTCAGGGTCAAGACTTAACCCCATGAAGTCAGGTTGGGGATGAGGAAAGGGAGGAAAGGAGAAAGAAGTAGAGGGCAGAATCTCCAGCTGCTTCCCTTCTTCCCAAACAATATTCTTTCTCTTCCACCCTATCATTCCCTTAGCTCCCCTGGGACATTTGACACCCTCAATTAAATCTGAAATTCCGTTCCCTTGACACCTGTGTTCAGATTTTTCTGCTCAATGGCCTTAGAGTTTAAATGGCCTTCTGCAGTATGTGTGGGATGGGCATTAATGTCCAGCCACCACACGCTGCCCCCCCCAAAAAAACCATTGTTCTGCTGTGTCTGCTGGGGACATGTGCACAGCTTAGGTTTCAGTGACAGCCCTGGAGAGGGAAGGAAAGGAAAGAGGAAGTGTCAGTAAGGGGGAAGGGACGGGGCTAGACGGCCCCGTCAGTCCCTTTACCATTATTGGTTTGTAATCTCCGCCATACTTCTGGCTGCTCTTGGGACATTGGGGGCAGAGTTTGCAGTGTTCTTTCCTCTGGGCTGGACCAAACCCCAACCCCCACCCCCAATTGCTGTGCTTAGAATGGAATGTGCTGTATGTGGAACGGGATGGAATGAGAAATCAAACACTGTCCTGTCCTATTCCCCAACCAGTTCAATAAGAAAACCACTGCCTCCAGGGCCCCCCACCCCCACCAAAAAAAAAAAAAAAAAAAAAAACCCAGGTTACCTGCCTTTTGGGAGACAAAAGCAAAGAAGGTGCCTCTCAGCATCACCAGGGTTGAGGTAGGCAGTAAGACTCATCACAGAGAAGGGGCGGAAGGTAAACAAGTTTTAGGTACCCTCACTCAGTAGCTGAGGAATACCTCGTTTAGGTAACTCTTTTAAACTTTCAAAGGAGGTCAGTATAATTAAATATAAATGTGTGTTTTATGATGATTTTTGATTTTACATTACAATCATTTCCCACTCCCTTACTTCAGGTTGAACCCTCCCCGCACTTTATGACAAAGAAAAACAAAGCAAAAATCTGATATATAGATGCCTGAAAACATGTACAATATTCTTTTCTAGTAGCCTTCCCCATCTTTGCCAGGAGGGAGGAGGTAGATTTCATTATCTCCTCCCATTGGACCATGATTGCTTTTTCTATTGCTTAGAGTTCAACTTCCTTTTGGTTATCTTTTCATTTGGATTGTTGTAACCATTTATCATACTCTCTTGCTCTGGCTTATTTTACTCTGTATCAGTTTATAAAAATCTTACCATCTTTCTCTGGATTTGGTATTTCTTAGTGCACAATAATAATTGTTACTTTCATATACCATTTTCCAGCCATTCTCCAATTGATGGTCACTCCTTTTGTTTTCAAGTAGTTTCTGGTTTTGACTTCTTTGTGGACTTAGGTATGCCCAGTAGTAAGAATATCAGTGTAATTTCATTGATTGGTTAGGAAGTGGAGTTGGGAGGGTAGGGTGAGGTTGTGATGGAGGGATTTTTATAGCAGATGACATATTCCCACTTCTTTCCTGGTCATTTTGGGGCTTAGAACCAGAAGGGTGGGGGTCTGGTGCCCTTTTATTCAGTCAGAGATTTATTCATCTTTTTAAAAAGACATTTTAGAAAATTCAATTTGATTGATATATTTTGTTTTAATATCACCTGCATTTCCCCACTGTTATTTCTTGCCCTACTCCCTCTCTGTATTACAATAGAAGAAAAAAGAGGTGAAAAAAGAGAAAATTTCAATGAAACTGATACATCAGGGGGGAGCTAGGTGACACAGTGAATAGAATGTTGGCCTTGAAGTCAGGAAGACCTGAGTTCAAATCCAGCCTCAGACACTTACTGTGTGACCCTGGCAAGTCACTTAACCCTCAGTTTCCTCCTCTGTAAAATGAAACGGAAATGGCAAACAACTCCAGTTTCTTTGCCAAGAAAACCTCAAATGGGGTCACAAAGAGTCCAACACAACTAATCAACAACAACAAAAAAACCACCCCAATGTATCAACTGAGTTATCTAATGTCCCCCATAGCCTCTAAGTATAGCCTCTGTTAAAAAAATTTTTTTTTAAATGGAGGAGGGGAGAGAAAGAGGTTCCTTTTCTTATTTCTTCATTGGGGTCAAGCTTGGCCATTATAATTTTGCACATTCAGTTTTGATTGTTTTATTGTTGTTGTTGTTTCTATTTGCATTGTTTTAGTCATTGTATGTTTCTGCTTCCTTCTCTTTGGATCAATTAATGTTAAGTCTTACCTTGCTTCTCTGAATTCATTGTCTTCACTGTTTCTTTCAGCACATTAATATTCCATAACATTCATGTACCACGAATGTCCGGTATTCCTTTGTCCTTTCCTTCCTTTCTCCATCCCCATTCTGACTTCATGGGGTTGAGTCTTGATCCTCTCCTTTCTGGTAGTCAGTCAGCTAACCATCCGGTGCCTCAATTTCCCTTCTTGCCCTTTCTGTCCCACCTCCCTCCCTCCCACAAATGACTCAGTCTTTGGAAGAATTCATTATTATTGGTGATGCTCTTCTATTCTGGGTCCCTAACATTAAATCAAGGGCATGGACCAAGAGAGAAGGAAGTGCTTTCCCTCAAGGAGCTCCTGAAGAACTCTCTGTCACAGATTCCTGCTGTCGCTTTCTACCCCACTGATAAAGTGGATAAAAAAATTGATGCAGCTTAGCTTTGGCTCTAGAGGTATATGTACGTGTGTGTGTGTGTGTGTGTGTGTGTGTGTGTGTGTGTGTGTGTGTGTATGGGGAGGGGAGGATCATAGCGTTGGAGCTGGAAGGAACTTTGAGGTCCTCTAATTCAACCCTCTCATTTTACAAATAAGAAAACTGAGGCCAAATAGTAAAAGTAGGATTTGAATTCCCATCCTCTGACTCCAAATTTATTGGTTTTTACTATATCTAAAGTGCTAAAGAGTGGTTGAAAGGAAGTTATAGAGATTTTTACAGACAGGTGGTATGAGTTGTGGGAAATGTTAATAGGATAATTTTTTTTATCTTGAATCTATTTATTTATTTATTTTTAGTTTTCAGCATTCACTTTTATAAGATTTTGAGTTCTAAATTTTTCTTCCTTCCTCCCCTCCCCCCCCAAACAGTGTGCAATCTGATATAGGCCATCCATGTACAATCATATTAAACATATTTCCCCATTAGTCATGTTGTAAAAGAAGGATCAGAACATAAGGGAAAAACCATAAGAAAGAAAGAACAAAAAAAAGAGAGAAAATAGTATGCTTCGATGTGTATTTAGACTCCATCATTCTTTCTCTGGATGTGGATAGCATTTTCCATCATGAGTCCCTTGGATTTGTCTTGGATCATTGTATTGCTGAGAAGAGCTAAGTCTATCACAGCTGGTCATCACACAATGTTGCTGTTACTGTGTGTGACATTCTCCTGGTTTAATGGGAGTATTTATGAAAAGACTTATTGAGGAAAAGCTGAATCAAAGGCTAAAGATGACTTGAGTTCCCCTTTCCTTTTGTTTTTTCTTTCTTCTTTTTTGTTTTTAATTGGGACATGGTCTGTACCTACAGACCATGGGTTTGCCTTGAAAAGAACTATATATCCTTCTGGGGAAAGAAACAAAGAACAATTCTCTACACTCTGCAGATGGCGACACATAAGGCCAGAGAGAGAAAGCTATTTGTCCAATGTCACCTACCCAATCCAGAGTACAGGTCTTTTGACTCCAAGCCCAGACCTCTTTCTCAGAGTTTAGATGTCAATCTATTATTTAGTTGAAGGCCACTAATGTTGGTTAAGGAACAGCTAGCTAGGTGGCACAGTGGATAGAGCACTGGCCCTGGAGTCAGGAAGACCTAAGTTCAAATCCAACCTCAGATACTTGTAACCATGTGACTCTGGGCAAGTCACTTAACCATGTTTGCCTCAGTTTCTTCATCAATGAATTGGAGAAGGAAATAGCAAACCACCCAGTATCTTTGCCAAGAAAACCCCAGATGGAGTCACAAAGAGATGGGACATGACTAAAAAATAACTCAACTACAAAAGTATCTGCCAAACAACCTCGGCCCTAAGAGGGACATTGGGCCCAAGAGAAGAGAAAATGTAAGAAGGGGAAAGGAGGTCATGGGGTGGAGATGGGGGGTTGCCCTTATGTGCAATTTCTCTCGTCCCCTTGTTCTTGATACTCAGGATATTTTAGGGTTTTTAATTCCAATATCATGGTGGGTGGCATTCAGGATATGTGGAAGCAGGATGAATGCCAACCACCCTTGGGGTAGCTAGGTGGTACAGTAGCTAGAGTACTGAGACTGGAGTCAGGAAGATCAGTGTTCATATACGACCTCAGACTTACCAGCTGTTTGACTGTGAGCAAGTCACTTAACCTCTGTTTGCCTCAGTTTCCTCTTCTATAAAATGGGATTAATAATAGCATCCAACCTCCCAGGGTTGTTGTGAGGATCAAATGAGATAGTTAATAACTGTAATGCTTAGTATAGTGCTTAGAACACAGTAAGTGGTATATAAATGTTAAATTTATTATTATTATTATTGCAATTCTTATGAATGCTAACCTGCTTAGTACCTCCATCCTCCTCTGCCTCATTTTTTCCCCATCTGCTTAAGGAGCCCTTGGAATATCTCTTCAGGAATATCTCTTGAATAGGTGAAGGGGAAGGGCTGGAGAGGTAATGAAAGGGTTAAAGGCAGGGGCTACTAAGGCCTGCTGGGTTAGCTTGACTGAGGGCTGGGAGTCTGCCCTGGAATGTAGCTGGGGAGGAGTGGGGGGAGGGAGGCCACTCCCTGGAGAGCCTCTCCTCTTATCTTTTGTTTGGAACAATAGCTCTCCTGGCTTATTGTCTTTAACCTTCTTACCTCTGTTTTGAGCTGGGGA